GTTTCCCGCCACCCCACCTCGGGTTCGGCTTTTCCGAAGCGCCGGTCCGCCAGGCGGAGGACCGCTCCCTCCTCCCTCTGGTCCCGATCCCAACTCCAAGCTCCTGTCCACGCTCTGGTCGCCCCCCCTGCTCCCCGGCCCTCCCTCCCCAGGACGCAGGAGCTCCTCGGGCTCCAGGCCCTGCAGTTCCAGCCTCTCTCCTATCTCCCTGCGGTGATAGGCAGCCGGGCGCAAACCCCCACGCAGGCACAGGGCGGGCTCCGTGATTCCTGGATGGATAGATGGATGGACGGATGGATGGATGGACGGACGGACGGGGAGAGAGGAGCACACAGGACGGTAACAGCTGATCTAAGCCGGTGTGGCTGTTCAGCGATCATCAGCTCGTTTTGTGTCCCCTTTCCCGCAATCGCACTAACTGGTCGTAGGTTATAATGAAAGCAAACATTCTCCTAAATGCTGCCAAACATGAAATATTTATTAGGAAGGGGGTGCAAAATCTCTATCATCGGCTCAAATAAACTACAACCTGTTTTTGTAGTTGGGGGCAGGCAGTAGACTGATACATGAGGCTCCCACCAAGTGCCCTGAAATGGAACATCAGACAACCGAAGACTCCAAACCTTCAGCAAGGCTCTGAGACACTGGGCTGCAAGGCTTGCAAGAGACCTGGGTCTGTTTAGCCTTTCCAACCAATACTTTAATAAGAGAGAGAGAGAGAAGGAGGGAGAGAGTGCCCTGGGGGAAAGTATTTTTGTTTTTAATTCCTTTTGGATTGTTCCTTGCTAGTGTAAAGAAGTACAATCGATTTTTAAAATATTATTCTAGCATCCTGCTACCTTCTTGAACTGGTTTATTTGTTCAACAGTGTTTTTAGTTATTCTTTAGATTTTTAAGAATATAACAGTCATGGCATCTTTGCATAGAAGTATCTTCTTTCTTTCAATCTATATGCATTTTGTTTTTCTTGCCTACTTATTTTGACCAGATCCTCAAGTCCAATGTTAAGTAGCCCTAGCTGTTTTGGCGCAGTGGATAGAGTGTCAGCCTGTGGACTGAAGCATCCCAGGATTGATTCTGGTCAAGGGCACGTTCATGCATGAGGCAGCCAATCCACGATTCTCTCTCATCATTGATGTTTCTCTCTCTAGCTCTCCCTTCCTCTCTGAAATCAATAAAAATATATATATTTTAAAAGATTGCAGTTTAAAAAAGAAAAAGTACATTCTTGAGAAGAATCAGTCTGATATTCTGAGCCTCTGCATTGGTCCAAGATGGTAATCCTTGAGATGGCGCAGTGGTCTGGCTAATGGATGCCAGGTGGCCTGGATACAGGAATGTTCTATCCTTAGTTTTTTCCGGGCAATCAGAGACTTATTTAGAGGTTGGGTGTATAT